GAACCAGGCTGTGACTGACGTCTACGCTCGCTTCGGTAATCAGACCACTTTTCTGGATCTCTCAAGCTTCCAACCACTGTCTGAGCATGATGAATGTCCAGCGACACCAGGTGTAACAGATCAGATTCTGTATATTCACTCTGGTACCGTGGCTTGCAAAAACAGTCGCACCTTTTGGACCTTTTTATATTTTGCAACATTGAAACCTCTGAATTGTATTGTATTTTATTTGGATTTAAAGTGACAGACCAAGATAAAGTAGTGGATAACTGAAGTGTGTATTCTATGCACTACACCAAACTTTGAAAGATGATTGCACCATGCAAATGTGGCACAACTACAAACCTGCCAAGAGCATCAATGAGAGAAGCTGTGGTAACTCTGGAGGAGTTGCAAAGATTAGGAAAATACTATAAAGCCTCTTTACTCTGACGTGGCTTTAACTTCCCCAATCAACTCACTGAACGCTGTAAATACTGAGTAACGTAATGGAAAAACGTTTAATGGGTATGAAGACAAGGCAATGTACATCTACCCGAAACAACCACAAATAAGAAAACAGATATCACAAGTTCGCTGTGTTTATCCGTCGCCTCAGGGGAGGATTACAGTCCAGATCCCTTTAACTGGGACTTCATTGGGAAGAACCTGTTCTGCATGGCCTTTGAGGGATTTGTCTATTTCGCCCTCAACATCCTGTTTCAGTACCGCTTCTTCCTGGATCACTGGTAAAGGACAGGAAAACTTCACAACACATTTCTAAGATGCAATGTCATTTCCAGGTAGGTGGAGGTTGGATGTGCTAAAAAAGCTTTTCTTTCTTTTTTTTTTTAAATTTGTAATAATTGTAGGATTCCAGATAGCCCAAAGCCTCATATGCTGGACGAAGACAAAGACGTGGCTGAGGAAAGGGAGCGAATCCACAAGAGTAAAAATACATTCGATATTTTACGTATAAAAGACCTGTCCAAGGTGAGAGACTTCAGTAAATGAGGTTCAGACTGAAATAAAGTGACTGACAACTAAACAAGTCGGGATTCGTTTCGTTGTTATCGGACCAGACGTACAGAGGAACAATGATCCCCGCGGTGGATCGGATCTGTGTCGGAGTTTCGCCCGGAGAGGTGCGTCTTTAAATCCGTCCCGATCAGCTACTCTCAGCAGTAGACGGTCAGATAACTTTTTATTTGGTGTTTTATTTTATTATTTTCTTCTCCTCTTCCCCTGCAGTGCTTTGGCTTGCTGGGAGTAAACGGAGCCGGGAAGACCACAACGTTTAAGATGCTGACTGGAGACATAGACGTGACGTCAGGAGAGGCTTCTGTCTCCGGCTACAGGTTCACAATACATACAATACGATTCAGTGTCAATATTCAAAAAAGGTGGGGTACAGTAAGTAGTGTGATATATTAAGTCTTCTTCTAGTTTTTTTTTCTTTAACCATACATTTGATAGGATGTGAACACTTTCCTAGGTCTTGCATTATCTCGTTCGATCTTAAATGCTAAGTTGCCTTTTAATGCCACGTTTCATTTCAGCATTTTGACCAACATCCTGGACGTCCACCAGAACATGGGCTACTGCCCCCAGTTTGGTGCCATCGACGAGCTCCTGACAGGAAGAGAGCATCTGCACCTGTACGCCCGCCTCCGAGGGGTCCCAGAGTCTGAGCTCAGCAGGGTGAGATGATGCAGCTCGTATGATGATGACGATCATTTATTGCGATTGGGTAAATCACGAATGAAATGTTCCACAAAGCCTAGATGTGCGCATATGTTTTTCTGTCTTTTTCAGGTGGCTGAATGGGCCATCCAGAAGCTGGGTTTGTCAGAGTACGCAGGTCGAAGCGCTGGGACCTACAGCGGAGGTAACAAGAGGAAACTCTCCACCGCCATCGCCATGATCGGCTGTCCTGCTCTGGTGCTGCTGGTGAGCATTAAACCATTCGGCATTTCAAGGCAGAACCGACAAAACTCTGCTGTGAACATACATTAAATATGGCTGTTGTGGTTTACTTCCTGTCTGTCAGGATGAGCCCACCACAGGCATGGACCCGCTCTCCAGACGCTTCCTTTGGAACTCCATCATGAGTGTCATTCAGGACAGAAGAGCCGTGGTCCTCACCTCACACAGGTAAACCGCGGGTCGCCGTGGATTGAGGCCCACACAAGCTTACAGATGTTGCTTCACAATGCAATTGCTATTTCGTTCAGCATGGAAGAATGTGAAGCGCTCTGTACCCGCTTAGCCATTATGGTTAATGGATCCTTCAAATGTCTGGGAACGATTCAGCACCTCAAATACAAGTCAGTCGTCGCCCTTTACGCTCGTTTCATTTCTAGTAGCAGTAACCGACGCCGCCAAACGCAACTTCATAATGTTACCATTGCGATCCAGGTTCGGCGATGGCTACGTGGTGACCATGAAGATCAGGGCGGCCAAGCCCGGCCGCCTGCCTGACCTGAACCCTGCCGAGGCGTTCATGGAGAGCACCTTCCCCGGCTCCATCCAGAGGGAGAAGCACTACAACACTTTGCAGTATAAGATCTCCTCTCCATCTCTGGCCAGGATATTTCAAATGGTGCTGGCTAACAAGGACAAGCTAAACATAGAGGACTACTCTGTGTCCCAGACGACTCTTGACCAGGTCACTGATGCACATAAACAATCCACAGTTTGAGTTTTCTTTTCTACGACATTTGACCTCAGTATAACATTTTACAATTGTCCTGCAAAGTGGACATCTCTGTGTTTTCTGAAAAGTAAAAACCATGTGAAAAAAGCAATTTCAAACTTTTTCAGCCTTTAATGTGACAGCTGTTCTGCATTATTCAATTAGGAAAGCAAGCAAATCTTTGATGAAAAAATTTATGAAAATAAAAAACGGCAATCTAGTTGTTTTAAAAGTGCACGTCCTTAAACTGATAATTTGCTAGAACCGATTTTAATTCAAAAGCAGCTTTTGGTTTGAAAAATGTAGTTCCTCTTCACCTTTACCCCCTGGAATGTTTTGGGTCGAAGCTAACTCGTATTTGAATTTCTTCATAATTTCATTCAAATGCAATGAAAAAAAAAACATGCATCTGATAAAAGGCAATCCCACATCATGATTCCACCAACACTGTGTAGCATTGTGAGTATTTTTTTGTTCTTTCGGTTAATTCTGCCACAACATTTTGGAATATTTCAAAACAAGTCAATAGTAAAGGATACATGTTGCACTAAATTTAAACTGATTTACTGTTATTTGCTGCTGTTTTTATTTTATTTTATTTTTATTTTTTTACATCACACAAATGTGAAATTTCAACAGAGATGTGCACAGTCCTTGTGTTTCTCACTAATTACAATGTTAAAACATAAAGTCGCTCTGTTCCCCCCGCCCCCCAGTCTGTTCTGCTCTGATCTGATCTTCCACTGTCCCTGCAGGTGTTTGTGAACTTTGCCAAGCAGCAGTCCAGAGAGGACGACACCATTGTTCTGCACCCGAAAGCCGCCGGTGCACAGCGGTACATTGAAACCACGGCCATCAAGTCTTACAGGAAGTAAACCGAACCGGACGGGAGCTCCGTTGTGTTCGCTTCACTGCTTCATTGATTTTAGTGAGCTACCGTACAGCTTCGACTCTGGCATAGTTTGAAAAGAAGAAGAAGAAAAAAAAAGCTCTGAAATCAGATTTAACTGAAGAGACTGTTTGAATTGGCCAAAACAAGTGTAAAAGAATTAAGCCATGTGTATCGATTTATTTTCTCGTTTGCGTTTTGATAAAACAAAGTTAGTTTAGTGGAGCATTTATGTGCCTGCTGCATGTTCCGCGCCCTCCTCGCCTTAGAATCGGGTTTTTACAGACTTGAAATGTATAGGGTTGAACCGATTGCAGTTTTCTGGCAGATCGCCTACCTTTAAAAATCCTGACCCGCCGATCGTAATTTTGAAGGATACCAATAATTTTTTTATTTTTGTCTGAAAAGTTGCTAAATATAGAAACAAGTCGGCAACTGTGGTGAGACTGGTTAATTGCGCTTCCATAATCAAGGTTTTATCGGCACACCCCTAGTGAAAAAGGGGGACGTCTTCCCAAGGAGCGTCAGAAAATGCGTACCCTGTTGGTTAGCTCTTTGTACTTTTTGCTTCAAATGCCAAGCGAGAAACTTTTCAAATGCCTTCATATCCCTGTGAAAGAAGCACTTGAACAAGCTTAGTTTTTCATTTTTTTTGCACTTTATTGATTACAAGCGTCACAATCTCCTGTATTTCGACAGTGTTTTAGTGAAATACATTTACCGATCATTACAAAATCCTTCGGCTGCTGCAAACCCATTTCAGCCCGTTGTGACTTTTTTCTTCTTTTTTCGAACGTTTAAATCGTCTAAATGCTTTTCTTATACATGTCCAACCCTGATTTTTTTATTTTTTTTTGCTCACATATATTATTGGTGTCGTCAGAGGGTGAGGAAGGAATGCGAATGTTTCTGAGAAGCATCAAATCAAATAAAGTGTATGTTTCTTTAAGATGTGCGTCACATTTTTTTTAAATTATAAAACCTGAGCTTTGAGAGAATAATGTTTTTATTGTATCTACATGGTGAAAGCATCTACATGTTGAAGTCGGATGATTGCTGCACATCTTCAATGTTTTCAGTAAAAAGCTTGATAAAGTAATGACTAAATGCGTCAGCAGCATCCCCCTGAGAGCACAAAAGCCATTCTAAACTCTTATTATTAACATCTGTTTGTTTAGGCACTTACTTATAAAGAACTATCTTTACTTCTAACATTTGTTGGCTAAAATTGGGAAAATCTTAATTTATTTATTTTTTTTAAAAAGAGAGTTGATGAATTATCATAAATAATTTGCTGGTTTTATGATGGAGATGAAAAAAAAAAAAAAAAAAATATATATATATATATATATATATATATATATATAATATATATATATATATATATATATATATATATATATATATATATATATATATATATATATAATACTCCCTCAAGCTTTTCTGAACAAGCCAGTCAGATAAATAAAATGTTGCAACAAGTGAAAATGAAGCACAGAAAAAGCGGAACATTTACTTGGACTTCGTTAACATGGTGGAGTTGGAACATCAGTCCTGAGGGACCAAAGTCCTGCAAGCGGGTGTTTCTCTGGTTCAAATCACCAGAAATGATATAAAAGTTTCTCTGGTATGTTCCCACCTAAATTGATGGCATCATAAGGAGCTAAATCAGCTGCTGGATCTGAGTGTGCATGAGAGCACACTCATGCACACTCATTGGCTGAAACAAGTGTAAAAGAATTAAGCCATGTGTATTGATTTTTCCAACTTATGATCTATGGAGAGCATTCTAAATATTGTTTCTACCCTTCTTGCCATTAGCATTCAGGAATTATTTGCATTAGACACGAACGTGATGTCCAAACGTGGATAAGATAGAATGAAACACGCAGCACGCTGACCCCTTCAGGACTTCAGTTGGACATATTTGGATTCATAGAAATCATTTAAGACCGTGTCTAAGCCTGTGTTTAATATGAATATACTAAAATTAATTCTTTGTCAAGCAGAAATGCAGTAATAAACTGTGTGCTGTTTTGTTTTTACGAACGTTCATTCTGTATTATGAGCTAAAGTTCTAAACGGCTTAATTTTTTTAAGCACAGAAACTAAAGCTGCATAGTGAAACGCTGCACTTATGTCACTACTAAAAAACTTTTGTCTGTGTGTGCTGAAACTGAAAAGAAAAGAAAATGTCCCCAGGAGGTTTCGAAGGCTCAGCTGTAGCGTGCTTCTAAATCATTGCGTCTTTTAAGCCCATCAGTATTAAAATTGCATAGTATTGGATTCAAGAAAACAATAGCACACGCAAAAGCAATTATCAAAGAATCAGGGGGATAATGGCCATCCGGACACTCGGGTAGTCTTTGAACTCTCGTATGTAGGCTCTGTGCTTCACTTTGGCCCAGATCGTCATCTGAATGAACCCGAACACAGTGTATATTGCCACTGCAAGACAAAACATACAATGAAAAGCTACGACATGTTACTGTAACAGGCGAGCTTTGATCTTTGGTTTTTATAAAACTATGATACCGTTTTTTCCAACTTATGATCTATGGACAGCATTCTAAATATTGTTTCTACCCTTCTTGCCATTAGCATTCAGGAATTATTTGCATTAGACACGAACGTGATGTCCAAACGTGGATAAGATAGAACACAAAATCCTGACAAAGCTCACAATGTCAATCTCAGCCAGTATATTCAAGTAATGTATCAATTTTGAGTCTTCTTCCCTCAGTAACAACCTCAACACTGAAGACTGTTATCAGCAGTTGCAACCTGAAAACTGTTACACACGGTGCAATTACTAATTAGAAGAAGATGATCTGTTTGAGTTTCAGACTGCCAAGGGTCTTGGCCAGTTAAACTGGAAATCTCCAAATTCTGGTCACCAGCTGATTTCTTGGTGAATCTCTGGTTTTGCCCAAATATGGACGTGTGCATCACATACCTGGAAGACACTGGGTCATGACTGTGAAGCTCAGCCAAGCTCCAACCTACAGATGACAAATGACAACATACAGACATGTTAGGATTGTAGTTAAACAATGAAACTTCACAGCTGTTTTAAAAATTTACGATACATGTTATTTTGCGCAGTGTCACATAACGCAGTTGCTGTAAATTTTACCTCATAAGTATAATTTGGACAGGAAACAAAGAAAAACAACCACGTGAAGGGGTTCTTGGTTGGCGTGGGAAACCTTCTCACTCTGAACCCTGATGTTTCCACAAACGAGAAAAATAAACAATCGGAAGGGAAAAGGACTTTAGTTGACCTGATTATTAAAAAAAAAAGAAAGAAAAGGGATTCATAATAAAAAGAGATCAGCAATTCACCGTCTGCTCTTAGGTCACTCAGACTCATATGGATGGAGAGGTTGCCCACTTCGCACATCTGAAGCAGAAATTCACAGATCAGAAGTCTTGAGTTGAACTTTGCCCAGTGTGAGGCTGGGTTTACGTACCGCGAATGTCAATAGTGCATACTTGACTTGAGGTTCTCCATATGCTGTAACAGAAATATTTCAACTTGAAGTGCTGCATGAAATGTCACAATACATTAAAAAAAAATTAAAAATCATTATTATCGTGTTGCCTTGGTTTGCTGTATTTGTGGCGTCCATAACTGCAATAATACCTTGACAAGGGAAGTCCAAAGGCTGCATGTGGACGTACATGTTTAAATTCAGGCAGTACCATTATTAAAGTTATGCAAAATTGTCTGAAACTGCCTCCTAGCCTAATGGTACCATGTGCAGTCAATGCAAATTTGACAAAAACCAAGATAGAGGACATGATGAGTCCTATTGCTTGCCGAAGATGCTGTTACATTTTCTGCCATCATCTCAAAATAAAAGCAATCACTCTTCTAACGTAGCAACAACAATTATATTATTAACAGTGCAATAATGAAAATGACATAATTTCATTGTAACTCCAACAAATTCCAGTTTTGAACAGATTGGAGTTTTCTAGTATGACCCCAAGTGGACAAAAGGAGGCACAGCAACAATTGTAGTTGTCAGAAGATTATGTTACCAGTTTTGCTGACTATAAACCTTATGTCAATGTTTACCAGGTGTGTGTGAGTATACTGTATATATACTGTATTTATATTACAATAAGGGAATAGGGTAGATAATCCCTCAATATTTGCACATAGCTGGACTTACATGGAGGTGTATATAGAGGATGGTTAATGTAGTAGGCTAACCAGGCAGAGAAACTCCAGTAATAGGCACAGTTCTACAGAAAAGGAGCAAGAAAATTTGAAGACAACATTGTTTATTGTCAACAAAAAAAAAAAAAGAAAAAAGTTTCAAATGAAGTATTATGTAATTTTTGTACAGCAACATTCATCACGGGCTAAGGCTTGTCGCTAACCGTTGCACAGAAGGGGTAATAAAACTCACTTTGACTGTTGTCCTGAGTGGCATTGTCCCATGGGAGAAACGATGCACAAAAATGGTCTCCATCAGCCTCTTCACGTAGTGGAATGTGTGGCAGACACAGGCCAGTCTGGTGGACGAAACCAAACAAGGTCAGAGGTCTAAGGTCAATGAGATCTGTGTTAGATTTTTTTTTAAAGGGAAGTTCTGTGAAGTTATTTTCTTGTCTGTGTAGCAGACAGATCGTACATCAGCAGTAAGTGAAATTTAGTGAAAGCAGTAAACTACTCACTTTTCGACCTGATTCAAAGCAACTGAAACTGAAGACCATAAAAGACGAGTAAGTTTCATGCCACTTTTTAGCCACGCAATGTGTTTATTATGGCTAAGTTGATGGATGCTGCCAGATTTCTGTATCTATCTAATTTGATCAATTTGAATCTTGAGATTATTTTCACGTGTATGCAAGAATGTTTAGAACTCTGCTTTCCTATAGTGATACCTGCAGGAAGTCAAACGAAACCGGAAAAACGCTGCTTTGAACGTATCTCATCAGCTCTCGTTTGGAGGGAAATGAAAGATTACGGCAGGTAAAAATATAACAATTGTCATCTTTATCAAAAAAACAGGCAATTGGACAAACGACTTTAATTGCACAAAGGCAGGAAGAGGACTTTGGCTTGTAGCTCGTTCTGATTTCTGCTTTGTTTGGTTGACATTTTGTTTTCTACTTACGTAACAACAGGATGGGGACTGGAGGTAAGGGCGTATGCGTGAGGGTAGATGTATGGCACTCGAAAAAAGAAGACGAGATACGTGAGCAGGGCTCCGACGTACTCAGCAAAAAAGACCTGAAAACAAAATAGGCTTGTATTAACTCTGGTGTTCGGTTGTTAGTGAGGGAAAACAGTGCATTTTACTAAAATCCAAGCGTGATCTTCTCACTGTAGTCCAACCTAACTGTGGCCCGAGATCTTTGAAGTACATGGTGGCAGTGGTTCCCACTGGTAGGTTCTGTAAGATCTCATCGTCTCTGAGCGACTTTCCCCCTTAAAAAGGGGAAAATGTATTTACATACAATGTTTACTGAGTTTTTTTACAGGAGTTTTTTCTTCACACACTTTGAGCTTTAGGTAGCGTGCCTTGTTAATCGGATGGCATTTTTAGAGTTTCCCATTGGATAATTGCCCCTAATAGCTCTCTGAGCAAATTCAAACTGTGCAACTTTTCACAGTAAGGTAAATTTGAAAGCCTTTTTAGACAGCGGTTCGAAAGTCGCTTTCATTTCGGGCCACAGAAGATCACAAATTTCCTCAACGGGCTGGTTGTGGCAGAACTTAAACTATTAAAATATTAATAAATAGCTGTTTATAAGACTAAACATAATTTTTTTCACAATGATGTAATTTGGCAGTATGCAAGCAAAAACTGCTTTGATTTGACTGATAAATTAAGCACACGACTGTTATCTTGACGGCTCTGTTTTTGTTTTTGTCCCATGCCTCATTTACCTTCAGGGACACAATTTTGTGCCCCTATTTCATGGTGTGTCACTTAAAATCCTCATAAAATACCATGAAGTTTGTAAAGTGACAAATGTGACCAAGTTAAAGGGACTGTCTGTGCTTTTTTTTAAAGGCACTCTACATCATTTTCCATCTCTACAAGAAGCTACTACTTAGTAAATCCTCAATCAGTTGCCCCAGTTACACCCACTTTAATCTCCGCACAGATACACAGATTAGATCACCACTTAGCTCTCATGCTGCTTATGAAGTACCTGTAAATACATGCATTTAATAATGAAATGACAAAGTAGCCACTTACTGGTATCAAGTCTTAGTGCCTGTCTTGCTGGGTACCACTGAGGATCTGAGCAGACCAAACACACACACACACACACACGCACAAATATACATTCACACAGAGGCACGGCTGCATGGAGCTCGCATTGCATAAAAAGTTTTTGGCTGGAGGCCTTGCAATAATTGACCACAATGGAATAACGTTAAGCTGCTCTGCTCTAATAGAAGCCGACAGCCTCAGGCTCGGCAGACATTTAGCAACAGCTCTTGACCAGAGACGAGCTCACGGCAGAAACTGCTGCAAAGCTTTGAGGAAACAAACAGGAAATTGTTTTCGACAAGAAACCTCTCCGGGGGAAGAGGTGATATATGAAGTGTGTTCAGGTCACTGGAACTTCGGTGCACAGCGAGTGTGTTAATCTCCGTCCTTGTCCAGTAAATCCGTTTACAGAGAGAGGTATTCACATAATAATAATGACAAAAACTCACATGATTTGTAAAACAGACTCTTAATATCTCCTATTGTAGAGTGAGGATCCACCTGATCAGAATACAAGCAGAAAGTATTGGTCCCATTGAATTAATACCCCATGACTCTTGCAATTATTTGAACTCTGATGCTTGCGTGTCAGTTCACGCCAAGATGAGTCGGCATACCTTATCTAAAAAACAAAGCTGCTCCTTAGTCGTGGCATCAAGGACCTCCACCTGGAAAATGATGTAAACATCACCTTTACCACGTCGTAGGCTAATAATGGAGAGCAATCTGTTGTCCAAATGAATGGTAAACGGTGTGCAATTGTATGGCGCTTTATCGAGTCAGAGGACACCAAAGTGCCTTTAAGGCAAAACGGCAAAATGACTGAACCAGCAACCCCCGCTGGTTACAGGATGAACACCTGCATTCTGAGCCACCATTATACGCCTCACAATAGTCAACTCCTCTTTATTTCAGATAAATCATTTTTACAAATACGTAGATCACTGTAAATATACCTGACTGCAAATTTGAAAACCCATGTCAAAAAAAACTAAGAAACAATACAGAAATTCAGACTTTCACATTTAAACGTTCAAAATGTTCTTCCAATTGAAGCTTCTGGTAAACTTTAGATGCAATGATTGTTTCACATTTTCTGTGCTGTATCAGAACCTTGTCTCTGTCATGTAAAACAGCTTGACTTCCTGCTTCATTAGATTAAAAAAAATATATATACAGATTCATGATGGAATCTGTGGTCGGAAAACAGATGGTACCATCTGTTGTGTAGAAACATTTTATTCTCCACACTACATATAGTGTGTGTGTGTGTGTGTGTATGTGTATATATATATATATATATATATATATATATATATATATATATATATACATATATAATCGAGGCATTTTAAGACTGATGTGTGAGTAAATAGATTTGTGTTTTTCTGGGTATGTGCTAATGGAGATATCTTTAACATATTTGAGCTTTTTCTCATCATTTTTACGCTCTGAAATATTATATTACTGTCTACATTTAAAACTTACTGGTACTGTGCATCCATTAGCATATCTTACAGTAGAAAGTAGAAAACTTGTTATTACCTGGTGCAATATTTTAAAAGTTTAATGTTGTTTTTGTTGTCTCTTACAAAACAAGTATACATCTAACGGTCTATTTAATGTACAGGTAAATTTGGCTCCTTATGACTTAATGTTATTTCTACCATTACAAGATGTTACAACTTATTCTGCATGAATATGATTATTCAAAATTTTTCTTGAGAGAACAACAATAAAACACTCAGTAAGTGTTCAAGTTAAAAACATCAACACTTGCTGCAGGAATAGAACATGATCAGCGGTAGGGTTGGTTTGACGTGAACTTAAAGTGGTCCAGCCAAATTTCACAAAGTTATAGAGACCTTGCGTCATCATCAAAAAAAAAAAGTATTTGCTCTTTGTTGGACCTGGTTACCACGTGAAACCCTACCAAATTACGGTGCCAATTCTGCAGAATACCTTTTAGTTTTACAATTTTTGGATGAGATGACCAATAAATGACTCATTGTAACTGCTCCTACTTCTAGGTATCCAAGATGTTCAAAACATACAGTAACAATCTTGCTCTCAATAATGAAGATTGCTCCCCTCAGAAGATCTGTGTGTCTCTCGTTTCCGTCTTAATTAGTCCACGTCAGTGGTGATGAACAGCATATGCAGGGAGGGCGCTGGATGGAGCCACAATTTGCCCTGAGAGCACTCCGTACTGTGCTGCTCAGCAGAGCTGTCCCGGCTAAATTGGTTTCTTTACTGGACAGTGTAATAATCCACTAATGGATACCTGAAGATTTGCTGAGTGCACAGTCAAGAAAGAGAAAATGAGTCATGCCGCATGCATTGTAAAGGAGCCATTCATCGAAGGACTTTAAACCAGCACGAATCTGACTGCATGTCGAGGTTAGAAGTAAAAGAAGAGAAACCAATAGACTTCAGGGCTTTGCATTAAAAAACTTTTCATAAATGTCCTTGTAAGCTTGAGTATAAAGGAGTGACTCTAACTGCAATCTCAAACTTGAATATGTTATGACCACTCCAAATCCAAGATAATAATCAAAAAGACGTCTCAAAATAATCCCAGAAATTAATATTCTTTTTTATTATAAGTATACAGTATTTGAGAAGTATATTGTACAAAATAATGACTTCTACTATTGGTTATTATGACACCACAGGCTTCACTCGGGTCAGTTTGTGATAGAGTTGTTGGGGCTTTTTTTTTTTTTTTCTTTACTACAAATGGCTGCCCGGCGAAAATAAATCAGCTAAGTGTTTGGCCGACAGGGACACTCATGCTAAATTAGTTTGGGCCATAAATGTTGGCGTGTCCATTTGTTGACGCTTCACTTTTGCAACATCAGATGGAAACCAGAAGTGCTTGCGTGCGATTGAGTTAAATAGTGATTACGTAGAAACGTTTTGTGCATCAGCTGTCGCCAACCACTTCAAATGAGAATTTGATTTTTATGTGAGCGGATTGTATTATGTCAGTCTTTTGCAATACATTAGTTTTGACTGAAAAAATAGCAGACACATGCGCAAGCGTTATTTACGATAATTTGACCTTTCAAAATGTTACTGTGCAAAATGTAACAGTGCAAAAATGTCACTTTGGAAGTCTGCAATGTTCATTCAGATGTAAACTAAAGAGGTAAGTTTATGTGGGCCAAATTCATAGTTCAATCCTGTCGTGGTCCATGTCTGACCCAGGACTAGCTTAGCAGGATACGCCATGTTGGATTGTTTTAACGCAGTGGCTTTTGGCACACTGCTCTGGTGTGGTTGCATGAAAATTTCTTGTTTTCAGAAATAAGTCTGTTCCCTTCAACACTGCAGGACGCTCAATGCCAGTATCTTTTGGACGCTGAACAATTAGTTAGCTTAGCGTCTTGAAACAACTAACAAAGCCTGCTCTGTCCTGAAGACAAGTACTTCCTTTAATTGCATCCTCTGCAGAAGGGACACAAGTTCAAACACTTTCTCATGAAAACTAAAAAAAAAAAAAAAAGCTGTTAGAATGACGTGTTTCTCAAAAGATCAGGTTTCGTCACCCTCTGATAAACTATTTAAATAGTTGTTCGTTTGCTCTCCAGTTTTGCTGTTGAGCTTCTGGCAATGGCAAGGTTCCCAGAGCAAAGTTGTAATTAGCTTTAGCTTGTAGGCTTGATGCTGTTGCAGAAAATTACTTGTCTTTTTCTTTTTTAATGATCATCAGACCACATGAGACATGAGAGACACAGTGTAGAAGGCCTACAAAGTTGACACTTTCTTAACACTGCATTCTAAAACTGCCCAAATGTTTTCATGTGCTTTTAATTTTTTTTAAATCTCCTTTAACACACGACTTGGTTTCTTCATTTTTAAAAAGGTCACGTGTCGGTGAGAAAGTGTACGCTGACTTACCTCAAAGAACGTGGTTCTGCTCATGGTGCTGCTTGGGAATAATTACGTCCCTTTTGCACCAGCACAAAAAAGAAACACAAAACAAATGCTCATTCCTCTCACACACACGGGCAGGAATAGCTCCTCTCCTTTTCAGGACAATCCCCGAACTGACCCTTATTCTATCCAGTCCTCTCTCCCTCTCTTGATCCGAGAGGCAGCAGGACACAGAATCACAAGATGCGGTCTGATCCTTTCTGTTTCAGTGCTGCCTCCTCCTCCTCTTTGGAGCGCAATGTTTTCTTTTCTTTTCTTTTTTCTTCTTTCCTTCTTCTAATCAAGGTATCTTTAGAGAAAGGGCTTTGCACAAACTGGGAGAAATTCCCCTGGAGAACGGAGACTGCCGAAGAGCAGAGGAAAGTACACAGATGTGCACACGTTTTATGAGACGCTCTGTTGAAACGGAGAATATAAAAACACAAGCATGTGCCAAAATGTCAATGGTAAATGGAGCAAATTTATATAGTACTTTACATTAGGGCAGCAGCATCCATTTGCTCTCACATTCATTGACTTATTCACAGATCACTAAGCAACTTGGGGTTAAGTGTCCTGTATGTAGCAGGAGTAAATTGGAGTTTACACATTTTGGATTGTGGGGAAACTATTCTACCCACGAAGAATAGCCTCAGGGAGTCGGGTTGGATTTTTGAGGTAAAGACAGATTTTCTCCTTTTTTTTCTTGTTAATTTTGCCTACTTCAAACTTGGAAATTCACCTTTTGCTCAAGTAAACTGGATATGTTCGGCTCAACTGGGCTAGTTAGATGTGGAATTCCACAGGGCATAAGGTTTGGACCACTGCTCTAGTTTACATGACTCCACTTTGTAAAAATGTTAAATAAGAGGACAAAATTCTATCATGCGGATGAAAATGATCGAAGTTTATTCATGAAGCCAGAGAGATGCGGGGAAAGTAGGTAATGTGTTTATTTCTTTCAGGTAATTCTGTTTTAATTGTTCATTTGAAAAATAAAATTTTAAAAATCTCTCGACATTTAAATATCTGAATGGCCAAAACTTGTCAAATTAAGATATTTCTAGCAGAACACTCAGCTATCGCTTTTAGTGATGTTGCTATAGGCTGCTGGAAAACACACCAGCGACCTTTTCTCACTGCCATTTTTCCATTTATTCAGTTATTGCTGCCAATAACGTTGCTCTCTCTCTCTGTTTTGATAGAAATTCTGCCGGGCCGACTGCTTAATTGTTTTATGTTATTTTTACTGTCTTCGTTGCCAGTGGGTCGAGACAGATGTTTAGCTGTTGCTGGAGGCTTTTCCCTATTAAAACCGGGAAGAAAACATTTTTCTTGTTTGTTGCTTCTAAACATGAGTGCTTTTGTAGTTCGTCAACTCCCGACTGCGCTTTGCTTTGCCACAGTTGGACTGAACTGTTGTTGCTGGATTCGAATGTGAATCTGACAGTGGATTAAATGTCAAACTGAATCAGATTGTCATCGATGCTGTTCACCTTCACAGGTATAATAAGCATTATGTAGGAGAGAGGTGAAGCTTTTGCTCCCATTAAAACTAAAACGTCAGCAGGATTTCATCCAGTTGCAGTCACCTCATTTCAACTCCGGCGCTTCTTTGTAAGTTAATCCATCAAACTTTTACCATGGAATTAGAACAGCTGTTCCACATGACAGTCTTTTCAAAAAGTGATGCAGCCTTGACAGGCCTTTTCTCCCCTCATAAGGTGTCATAGAGCGCCCTCTACTGGCGAGTTTGGTTGATGTACCTCTGTGACTCTTGAGCTTGTTGCTGGAAGGAAAACTCAGCATTCAGGTTTTAAAGATTATGTAGCATTGATGTAATAAATTTATCTTTGTGATAAACAGACCTACGACCATGTCTGCTTTTAAAATTCACCTGAAAGGGAAACTTTCTTTTTTTTTTCAAATATCTGGATTTTGTTTTTGAATCAACATGGAAGAATTTATTTATTTATTGCTGTTTTCAAGGTGTAGCAGGAAGGGAAACTTTGCTTATTGTTTGGAAATAAAGAGACTCATCTTCTTTGTTTTTTTTGCTTGTGGGGTTTCTGGGAACGCAGGCGCTCTCCCTTTCGCAGCTTAGAGATTTAAGTTGTGGAAGTCGCTGCCTATGATCAAAAGTCGGAGGCCCCAACGCAGCCGGGGGCCCGCCGCCTGCTGATCCCAAAGGTCATTACTGGCTTTCCCATCAAGCTCCATCACCCTCCAACCTGTGAGGGTTCCGGCTCGGGGGCAATTTGAGTTTTTCTTCTTCTTATCACGATATGGAGTTTGGACGGAAAGGGGCCAGAGGCTATGGCCAAGCGTAATGGAGTCACTGTGGGGTGAGCAGCCGAGACGATGGTCGGGAGGACATGTTTCCTTCTTCTCTCCCCCGCGGAGATCTGAGGCCGCGACCGCGCCGGAGAAACCTCTGTGTGCTCGTGCAATACATGCTTACCTCTGAGCCTCTGAAGTCAGATGATGAGGCTGCGGAGGCTCTGCTGAGAGGAGAAAGTTCGCGCATGACACGAGAATGAGGTCCTGTCCCCTGTTAATGATGTTTTCTCAAAATGTTGCTCTTAGCTAAAAAAAAAAACAGAAGTTGAAGTTACGAGTGCCGTCGGTGAAGATGGAAATAAATGTGGGGAAATGCGACTTTAAATTGTGGGTAGGTTTATGTGGTGGGGGAAATGACCCTACAAATCTTTGGCTGACCTCCTTTTGAAGATGCAAACAAATGCAAATCTTTAACTATGAATCTTTGCATCATCTTTTAAACTCTCTTCTTCTAAAGGATTTATATCTGACCAGAAGCTTATTTTAGTAAACTTTTGATTATAATTTTGAAAGACTGATGATACTGGATTTGTATTCAAAACGTCTCGGTATTAAGAAGAGTAAAACATCATGATAACAGTGGAAATGGGGAACTTTCCCACACTAGAATTTACCGGAGGGAAAATCCCAAAGGGATTTTCTATCTATTTATCTATCTACATTTATCCCTTGCTTCATACTTAGTGTTTATTGCTAATAGTGTTAATCTTAACTAGGGAACACACTCTGCAGTTTAAAGTATTGGCATTATGTGAAATGTGCACCATTGATTTGTTGATTTGATTCTTCCATGCATGTCTGGCTGAAACTCTTCCCTTTCAGCCAATCAGTGGTGCGTGAACTCTTGCCACAAATCGCCTATTTCTTATTAAGTTACTTCAGACTAGCAGCAGCAATTAGCAAACACCCGGTGGAGAGAGAGAGCTTCTCAAAGAGACAGAGGCTGAATTTCAAATTGGCAATCCAAAGTCCTGCCTTGAAAAAAGCGATACTATAACATCTACAGCCACGTTGCATGAAAGCACAAATGGTTTCTGCGGATATATCAGTCCAATGACAAAATGGACCCCAAGTTTTTAAGGTCCTCTGCATGATCCAAAACCCCTGGTGGCATAAATGCTCAGCACTGGACAGTATGTTTATGTTTATGACAGGAAGACAAACAGCCAGCCAGCAGGTAGAAAGAATGGGACAGTGGTTGGGGCGGAGTGGCTCTTTATCTAATATTTCTTGGTTTGTTTCTCTGCCTCCTTCACCAGCCTGCTCACTGTGAATTTGTTGGTGAGAAAAATGGGATTTCTCTTCAAGCTCAGCGGCTAAAAGAAACATTCCTCTATGTGATTTCATATTCATACCCCGAGGAAACAGGGAAACAGATTAGTAGTTAGAGGCTCCTATGAATCGCAATGAACTTACGAAAAAAAACAAAAACAAAACAAACAAAAAAAAAAAACAAGCAAAACAACAAATTACTATTCCCTAACAGGTTTATTTCCCCTCCAACTGAATAAATTCACTTTATGGGTTTCCACACAAGTCCATCCACATCTGCAACTGTTAAACTTGCATATTTATTTCAGCAGGCACTTTAAGACCTCAATGTAAGTTTAACATTATCGCCTATGCATAATAAACCACCGCTATTTCCTGCCTGAAATATATAGAAACAATAATCATATTAAAAAAAAAAAATCTTGTCCTACTGCCACTTTCCCGTTACACATTCATCTCTCCACACAGCAGATTCTCCTTAAGCTGATTTGCAGTGCACCATTTTCACGACGATGAAAAAGCTTGATGCCCCGCAGCAGTTCTACCACCTGGTTCCCACGGGGGACCAGGGATCCTGCGCTTGAAGGGTTACAGCAGCGTGGACTGGAATCCAGATAAAGCAGCCAGATGGAGGCCTGGAGTGCAGCACTCTCCTTCACACAGGCATTTATTTATTAATTACCTGATTCAACGTTTACTCTCCCTTTCACGTCGCAGCATGGCTGCTGCAGCAAATTGCAATCTGCGCAATAATCTGCAACTGAGAGATTTTGTATTACTTGAACACGGTCTGCTGCACACTCTGTGATTGTGTGTGTGTGTATTTTTTAAATTTATTTCTTTGTTTTGCAGTGCAGATGACATTCCGCCAGCAGGGAGCGATAGTGACACAGCACCTTGGGTAAACGTGTTCAGAAAGATGGAGCAACCTGTCAATACTTTTTTTTTTCTTCAGATTATTCAGCCCTCCTCTTGTTGTGGGTGAAAAATACAGAATGTTCTGAACTGAATCTGGAGAGAAAGGACTAAAGTTCTGCTACAGGTGCAACAAAATCAGATGTCATTTATTTTTAACAAATATGAAGCTCATATCCGGCATAAATCCGGATCTTCACATTCTGCCCACACATGGATAGAAGAAAATATGTGATAATGTTGTAACAAAAATAAAATCCAGTCAGGTTTACATTTATTTTACCTCTAAAAGGGTTTTATTTTTCGAGAGCCCTTTAATTAAAAAACAACAACAATAACCGAATATTCTAACAATTTAATCTTAAATGAATACATTTATCAATCTATATGCTAATTGATCAGGCTGGAAGATCAACAATTTTACATGCGTTGACTTCACAGAGCCTCAGGATGCTAACCAGCTCGGCATGACGTCTGGTTAGCATCATGCTAACCAGTCAAATTACCTGTTTTCTTTGGCAAAATGTTATTGCCAAGCTTACAAAATTATGCTTTGAAATATTCATCCATCAAACACGCTAATGAGAGAGAAGCTGTCATGGATGCTACGATCCGATGACATGACTTCACCATGTTAAAGCAGTTTAAACA